GGTCCCGTAACGAGTACGAGAGACCATGAGCGAGTTCTGGTCCTGTAACGAGTACGAGAGACCATGAGCGGGTTCTGGTCCCATAACGAGTACGAGGGACCATGAGTGAGTTCTGGTCCTGTAATGAGTACAAGGGACCATGAGCAGGTTCTGGTCCTGTAACGAGTATGAGAGACCATGAACAGGTTCTGGTCCCATAACGAGTACGAGGGACCATGAGCGGGTTCTGGTCCCATAACGAGTACGAGAGACCATGAGTGAGTTCTGGTCCCATAACGAGTACGAGGGACCATGAACAGGTTCTGGTCCCGTAACGAGTACAAGGGACCATGAGCGAGTTCTAGTCCTGTAACGAGTACGAGAGACCATGAGCGAGTTCTGGTCCTGTAACGAGTACGAGAGACCATGAGACGGTTCTGGTCCCGTAACGAGTACAAGGGACCATGAGCGAGTTCTGGTCCTATAATGAGTACGAGAGACCATGAGCGAGTTCTGGTCCCGTAACAAGTGCTAGGGACCATGAGCGAGTTCTGGTCCCGTAACGAGTACGAGAAACCATGAACAGGTTCTGGTCCCGTAACGAGTACAAGGGACCATGAGCGAGTTCTGGTCCTGTAACGAGTACGAGGGACCATGAGCGGGTTCTGGTCCTGTAACGAGTACGAGGGACCATGAGTGGGTTTTGGTCCTGTAACGAGTACGAGAGACCATGAACAGGTTCTGGTCCTGTAACAAGTGCTAGGGACCATGAGCAGGTTCTTGTCCCGTAACGAGTACGAGAGACCATGAACAGGTTCTGGTCCTGTAACGAGTACGAGGGACCATGAGCAGGTTCTGGTCCTGTAACGACTACGAGAGACCATGAACAGGTTCTGGTCCCGTAACGAGTGCTAGGGACCATGAGCAGGTTCTGGTCCTGTAACGAGTACGAGGGACCATGAGCGGGTTCTGGTCCTGTAACGAGTACGAGGGACCATGAGCGGGTTCTGGTCCTGTAACGAGTACGAGAGACCGTGAGCGGGTTC